GTACTCGTACATGCATACAAACAAACAAACAAATATACATACATACATACAAACATACAAACATACAAACAAACAAACAAAAATACATACATACATATTTTTATATATACATAAATACATGCGACTCAAATCATTGCCACCAGAGAGCTGTCCTGTAGGCCAGGATCTAGTGAACCAGTTATCCCTCCATTTTTGGTACCACTACGACCACAAGAGATAGATTTTTTTAGTTCACTGGCTGTATCCGATTCATCCGGTGGAGAGAGATGATGACAAGACTGTAGCGCTGCGTGGCCATTGACAGTGGCAACAGATGTAGAACTGCCATTGCTAGTAATCGCTTTTATGGCTGTAGGAGCCTGGCTCATTGCAGCAGAAAAAGGAATCGAGGTAGTGGAACTCGTAGGGCAGTTGCGAATAGGACTCGACATTCCGGGACTTGGGCCTGGAGTGAGGTCCTCATCGCAGATGATAGCGGCAGCATGTCTGAGTTTTGGAATTGTGAAAAAGGAAATTTTTGGAGATAAACCTCGAGAACAATCATTTTAAAATAGGTGATTTAATGAGAAAGGAAGGGTAAAATAAAATGATAAAAACAAACCCAAGGGTTCCGTGCCATTATATAGATAATGATAAAAATGACCTGGGGGATGGTAATACTTGAAATTAAACCTAAAAATTATAAAAACCCTCCTTTAAAATATTGATTAAACTTCCAAAATTGAAGTTTCGCTATTTTATTTTCCTCATTCCTTAAATACAGTAACTTGCTCGAACATGCTCTGTATCTCCGGTCCATCTTTTTAGGCTAGTTTAGAATATTATAGGGATAGCTACCAATTAGATGAGGTTGATCAGAAAAGAAAAACTAATTAAAATAAAGCATTTAGCATGAATTAAGCTTTCAAGACAATAAGAAAAAACGGATCATTAAATATATGTAAATCAAGGAATAGGTAAGAGATAACAATAACGATCTTCAAGGTAATTCCCAAAAAAAAAGCTTGATAATCGTTTTGCCATTACCTGGAACATATGGTGGATGTTGTTGTGTCTTAGTCGTTTCAAAATATGCTCATGAGTTGGAACAAATAAACGTGTAAGGAATGATTTGCAATAGGAAAGGCCAATTTATTAGAAGCAGAATACCACCTTGCCTGTCCACTGCCACGGGAAAACGTATTTGAGAATTCTGTTACATTTGGAATTTTTGTTATATAAGTAGTCTGTATATTAGTTATC